TCTCTGCCGCTGGAAGCCGGTTCCCGAGCCTTTCAGCCCGTCTCCCACCTGTCTTACAAGGGGGATTGTCTGGCCAACCTGCTTTATTGTACATCTCTGACAAGAGCTTGGCCACTGGAACTGGAGGTCTGGGGTTTGAATCCCTGTCCTGCCACTGTGTCACCCTACAGTGACACCTGTGTCCTCCCAGCTCAAGACTGTCCTCGGGCTAACGTGGGGTGCAGACAGCGCCCACACCAGCAGCCTCCCGCTGTGGGATTGTATTTGATGTCCGCTTCTTGCTGATGAATCGCCTACGATTACAGCAACCGTAACCAGGCAGCCCAGTGAGAAGCGCTGGGGCTTGTGGGGCTAAGGCCAGAGCTGCGGGGAGTTCCCCGGACCCTCACCTGCTCCGCTGGCAGGTCTGGGCTAGGAGAAGCCGTAGGGGGTGGAAGATATGCAGTCCCGGCTGACCAAGGTCCGGGGGCTGGGAGTGGCACTCCTGCAGGCCCAGCGGGGCCAACATGCACCCCACCTGTCACCATTGACGCCGCCTCAACCGCAAAACCACCACGGCCACCCCAGCTACCTCCCCTGCTACGCGGTCTCTTTTCCCTCAGTCAGGCCCCCTCACTGTAGGACTCCCCACCACAGGGGACCTTCTCTGAGAGCTCAGACCCTACTGAGTGGGACTCCTTCAGGGCCTAATAACAACAATAGCCAAGGCATACCAAGCGCCTACTGTGTGCCAGGCACTGTCCTGGGTGTTGGAAGAGAAGTGAGCGAAGAAAGCCAGGCACATAGTCAGGGCTTTTCAGAGAATAACTCGGAATCCTCAGTGGACCCTCCCTATTTTACAGATGAGGACACTGAGGCCCAGAGGGATTAAGTAAGAGGCCTCTAACCACAACTTGGTCTACTGAGCTGTGCTCCCCGGCTGCTTCGCACCTGGCCTGGCCCGGCTCCGTGCACCTTCGACCTTGCTTGGCGCCTCAGACGCGCCTTCGTGGGGCAGAATAAGGACGCTTGAGGCCGTTCCTGGGTTCTTCTGCCCCAACCTGCCTGGCATTGGGGTGCGGACGGGCCCAAACACATAGCCCACTGCACGTGTGGCACCTCAAAGGGACCACCTGGTGTCTTAGTTTCTCCAAGTCTTTCTGGAGACCGGGATCCTCAGGGAGGAAGTGGCAGCCACTGTGCTGTGTGGCCTCGGCAAGTTGCTGTCCCTCGGATCTTCCAGGTCAAGGGTCTCTAGTGGGCAGAGGCTCGCCAAGAAGCCTCTGGCCTGGGGAAGAGCAAGGCCCGCTCCCAGAAGGCCTGGCACCCAGAGAGCCTGCTTGCTGCCCGGGAGGGATGCACAGAGGGGACCGAGCCCCCTTCATCCTGCCCCACAGCACCCAGTAGGCCCCCAAGAGCTGTTCACGCATTCCTGTACTCCGGGCCGGGGCCATACCCTGCAGGCCCCAGAGCTCGCTTTTCGCACTCACCTCATCCCACCTCTCTGCCTTGGTGATCCTGTCACTCAGTCACCGCGATAACCCGCACTCAGCCAGGGTCACGGTCAGCCCCTTTTACAGATGGAGAGACTGAGATGGGAGAGGGACCTGGGGTGGCCCTGAGTCCAGGGCAGGCCAGGACGTCATTCCCAGAGGGCCACAGGGACCTCCCCAGAGGCTAGCCTCCCCATCACACCCTGCTTAGGGTGGTCCAGTGACGGAGCACCTGCGGCCTACACGATCCCTCGGTTCATTCATTCATTTATTTATTTATTTTTGGAGAGGTTTTTGCTGTAGGGTGCGTACGCTTGCCAGACAGACAGACAGAGAGAGACAGAAAGTGAGAAATCACCCCCCAGGGAGGATGGCCACGTCGCAATCCCTTCTCCTCCATTCTCCTCTCGGGATCTTGGGCACGCACGCATACGCTCCTGGTGTGAGTTTTAAGCCACCGGGTCCGGGACTCGAACCGTGGTCAACTGCGTGGGAGTCCAGTGACATAGCCATTACGCTCACTGCTGTTCCCTGTTCATTTATTTATTTAACTGCCAGAAGGCACATGTGTGGGCAGCTGCGCTCGCCAGAGAGAAAGAGAAAGTGCCCCGATAGAGCGCAGTAATACTGCCATCCTTTTTCCCTCCATCTCTTCTCCTGCCAGTTTGACATACTTGCACAGGTGCCCGGAGCATTCTGTCCACCACCCAGACTGATTCTAACCTTGAGGGTGATGTGGGATCAGGCGCCCATGTGCGGAGCTTCAGTGCTGTACAAGGCTGTCCTGCCTCTCGTTTTGTTTTTTTTAAATCTTTTCTTTCTTTCTTCAAAAAACAAACAAACAAAAAAACCCTATTTAATATTATTATTATTTCTTAATTCATCAGAGACAGAGAGGGAAAGTAAGAAAGCAAGCCACCAGGTCCAGGATTTGAACTGCAGTCGCACATGTGGAAGTCCATCTTGTTAACCACCATGCCACCTGCTGATCTGTCTTTCTTTCTCTCTCTTTTTCTTTCTTTTTCTCCTTTATTTCTCTTTCTTTATTTTTTTCTCTTCTCTTTCTTCCTTTTAATTGTCAGAGGCTGTGTGTGCTCACCAGAGACAGAGAGAGCATCCTTTAGTGGGGCGTGGTCATGCCACAGTCCCTTCTCCATCTCTCCTACCTGCTGGGATTTGGGGCACACACACATGCACACATGCCCGGTGTTGTTTTCAAGCCACTGGGACTGGGACTCGAACCACACTATCAGCCGTGTGGGATCCAGCTCCCTTTATCCATTAGGCTATGGGGCCAGCCCCTGTCTCCTATTGTAGAAAGAGGGAGCTGGGCCTCAGAGAGGGACAGCCACCTGCGCAAGGTGTCGCAGTCAGGAAGTTGCCAAGCTGACCCAGAGCCCATAACCACAGCGGGGGAGCCGAGGTCCAGATCCACTGAGGCCGGGCTAGCCGAGGCGGAGTGCTGGAATCCCAGGCAGTCTCCTCATGGCCCGGTGGGGGAGGCCTGGCCTGGCATTTCCTGTTTGGGCAGGACTCCAGGCACGCCTAGTGAGGAGATGAGACTTCCCATCCCCTCCTCCCCGGCCCTAGAACTACCCCAGATGCAGTGAGGGGCAGGAGCTGGGAGACCCAGGCCCCGCTCCAGCCCCTTCTCTCCTTGATTACCTGGTGTCTTTGCCCCGCTCTCCTCTTCTCGCCAAGATCTCTGCCTCCTCGAGTTTCCCAGACTCGGCCCTGGCCCTCAGGGGAGCTTGAGGCCATGACCTTGGGCAATCGCGGGGCAAAGACACCAGGTAATCAAGGAGAGAAGAGGCTGGAGCAGTGGGAAATATTTTATATTTTATTTATTTTTAAATTTTGCCAGGGGGCATGTGCACACTCTGGAGAGACAGAAACAGAAAGACAGAAAGCACCTGAACAAGGCATGGTCACACCATGGTCCCTTCTCCTCCATCTGTCCCTCTTGTCGAGCCTTTGGGCATGCACGTGCACACACCTAGCATGTTTCTTTCTTTTTTTTTTTTGAGAGGTTTTTGCTATAGGGCACATGCGCTCGCCAGATAGACAGACAGAGAGACAGAAAGACAGTGAGAAATCATCTCCCCAGGGGGGATGGCCACGTTGCAGTCTCTTCTCCATTCTCCTCTCAGGATCTTGGGCATGCACATACACGTGCCTGGCATGAGTTTAAGCCACCGTGTCTGGGACTCGAACTGTGGTCGACTACGTGGGAGTCCAGTGACATAGCCATTATGTCAACTGCTGGTCCCCCCAGCATGTGTTTTAAACCACCGGGTCTGGAACTCAAACTGCACAGTTGGTCTTGTGGGATCCAGCAGCCTTAACCACCATGGGCTAACCCAATAGAGATTTTATTTTTATCTCTTATCATTAGAATCCAGGACAGGGACTAGAATAGTTTAGGCACTTAATAAATATTTGTCCAACAAATGAATGAATTTGATCTTTGATTTATGAGTCTTTTTTTAAAAAAAATCTTTATTGATAGAGTACATACACACTCATGAGGAGAAAGAGAGAAGCACCCTCTGACAAATACTGGTCACGTCACAATCCCTTTTTTTTTTTTTTAAAGAATTATCTAATTTTATTCATTCATTCATTCATTTAATTTGACCAGAGAGAGACAGGAAGAACGAGAGAGAGAGAAAGTGAGAAAGCAAGCCACCAGGTTCGGGACTCAACCTGTGGTCGCCCATGTGGGACTGTCCAGCGCCTTAACCACCATGCCACCTGCTGGTCCCCACAATCCCTTTTTCCAGTCCTCTAGCCTAGGCATGTATGCACATACTCAGTGTATTTTCAGGCTGACTGGGTGGGGGCACTCAAACCATCATTAGCATGTGACTTTAGCTCCACGGGCCAGTACACTACTGACTGCACCACAAAGGCCAGCCTTTGTTTTTTGATAGATATATTTAACTCATTTACATTTATTGTTTAAATGGATATAGTTGGTCTTCTGTCATCCTGTATTATATTTTCTGTTGACTGACTGACTGACAGAATGAATGAATCAATAAATTCCAAGTTGCCAAGGTTGGCTGGAGACTGGGGCTTCCCCAAGCTGCCCTTGGCCTTCCAGGGTAAAGGGAATATAGAACAGACACCAGACCTCTCGCTCTTGCAATGATTTATTCCATAGCCTTGAATATCCATTGCCCTCATCCCCAACTTCCCCAAAGTGCTCCTTTCCCCACACAAGGCATGCCAGGTTTATCATGCTGAATTCTGGAGGCAGATGTGTGTTCCCAGGCCAGCTGCCTTGTTAACTGGTGGGATGGCCTTGACTTACCTCACTGGACCTTCCTCCCCTTCCTTGTAAAATGGGGCTGGAGTATTAGCTTCCTATGGTGACTGTCGAAAGGATGACATGAAACAACTCGGGTCAGAGGGCTTAGCACAGCTCTTGGGTAGAGTCAGCACTCAGTAAGGGTTAGAGGTTATTATCGTCGGTACCTCAGTTTCCTTCCATTGTAAATGAAGCTGACTGTCATTTCCTTCCAGGCACCTCAGGATCCCAGCCTCAGAGTCTGGAGGAGAAGAATGTGACTGTGCACTTACTTGGTCATCTCCTCTTCCACCCCAACACCCCAGAAGGTCACTTTTGGCGATTCTAGGAGGACCATAGAAGCCTGATCTACCACTAGGAGGTAGGGAGAGTAACAACTGAAACAAAAGAGGGGCCAGAAGGTGGTGCAGTGGCAATACAATTGGACCTGCGTGGGAAGGTCCTGGGTTTGTATCCCAAGGCCTCCCTGAACTAGCTGGGTCTGTGTGTGCCCATGATCCAGGCTGCCTGAGGCTGGGAGCAGAGTATGCGTGATGACCCTATTGGGGGGCCTTGTTTCTCTCTCTCTCTCTTTTTTTAAGTTTTTCCAGAGGTAAAGTAAGAAAGCATCCTCTGTGGGGGGTGGCCACACTGTAATCTCTTCTCCATTCCCCCTCAGGATTTTGGACACACACACACACACACACAGTGTGTTTCTCAAATCACCAGATCCAGGACTTGAACTGTGCAGTTGGTCATGTGGGACCCATCTACCTTAACCACCATGCCACTGGCTGGCTCCTATTTCTTTCTGTCTGTTTCTCTGTCTCTTTTTCTGTGTTTTTCTCTCTCCCTAAATAAATAAATAACTAAATAAACTTTTAAAAAGTGTAAAGAGCTTTTTCTTTCTTTTTGTAGAAGTTTTTGCCTTAGGTTGCATGCACTGGCTGAGAGAGAGACAGAGAGACAGAGACGGTGAGAGGGAAAGTGAGAAATCAACTCCCCTGGGGATGGCCACGCTGCAGTCCCTTCTTCTCCACTCTTCTCCTGGGATCTTGGGCACACGTGCACACGCGTCTGGTATGAGTTTCAAACCACCAGGTCCTGGACTCAAACCGTAGTCAGCTTTGTGAGAGTCTAGTGATGTAACCACTATGCCATGTGCTGGTCCCAAGAGCTTTTTCATTCCTTCATCTGCATAATTCCCACTACACAAATGAGGACTCTGAGATACACTCGCTCATGTAACTCCACAAACAGGCCCTCCCTGAGGCCTCCCACGGGCCAGGCTGTTCTGGGCCCTGGGAGGAGCCATGGGTCAGAGAGGGCAGGCCCCTGTCCTGCAGGCTCACAGTCATGGGGATGAAAGATGGGGGCGGGGGCGGTGGGGGCAAGTCGGCCCTGGGGCATTAAATCAAGTGCCTTCCCAGCCCCCTGGAAGTTTCCCAGAGACTTCCCAGCATCCCTGCCTGGCAGGCAGCTCGGAGGAGAGCCAGCACAGAGGGTGTGACAGTCTTCCTGCCCTTGCGCCAGCTGCTGCCCCTGGGGAGCGCGCTTCCTCCTGGCGGCCCCACTCTGGCCAGGGCACGGCACGAGCGGGCGTCACTTCCTCAGGAGCCTTCCCAGCTGGGAGGGTGAGGCCGGCCCTCACCCCGTGCCCCAGGGCCCTTTCATAACCGTGTTTCCCGCTCACGCAGAGACCCAGCTCCTCCAGCACACCGGACTTTGCTGTCCTGTCTTACCTGGGGCATCTTCCTGGCACAGCCAAGGTGTGACTGAGCTGGCAGGTCTCTTCCTTTAGGGAAGCCCCACCCGTGTCCCCCACTCTGTGCGAGTGTGGGCAACAGCAGGGATGCCCCCTGCCCCTCGCAGTGCCATTCTGCCCTGGTCTGTGGGGTCATTTCAGGGGTGAGGACAGGGGGTTTGTGTGCTTAGTTCACGGTGGCGTCCTGGTGCCCTGCACATAATAGGTGCTCAGTACCTGCCTGTGGAAGGGAGTGGAGGGAAGGCGCAGGGAGGAGGGGGGAGGAAGGAGGGAAGGCTGTGATTCACATGCCCAGTTTTTGTCTCTGCTCCATCAACGCCAGCTGCGTGCCGGTCCTGGGGAGGCAGTGGACAGCCGCGGTCCTGCCCACAGGCACTGACGTGCAGCCCGTGGGAGCGTCGGGACGTCAGGTGGTGGCCAGCGCCAGGAGGCAGGGGCTGGAGAGACGGTGTCTGTCCCCCGGCTGGCTGCTGGATGAGGGCCCAGGGCTCTCCCGCCTTCAGTTGGCAGATGCGTGGGGCTGTCGTAAGTGTGAGCAGTCCTGGTTGCCAAATGCCACCACAGCTGCGTCACTGAGAGCCTGGAGGGCTAGCGGGTGAGGGGAGCTGGGGGCCCAGCCCAGGCCGGCCGAGGCCGAGGCCCCAGAGCTGGTCAGAGGCCTGCGTGCCCACGGTTAGTCACCCCGTGCGAAGGGGCGCCCCACTGCTGCTCTCCGGGAATACTTCCCACTTGCACAAGAGCCCAGCTCCAGGTCAGAAGTAAGGGGCGGAGATGTGGGAGACCCCGTGAGTCCTCCCTGACCACAGTCCCCCATCCCACCCCAAGGCGACGTCATCCTGAATTCGGCAGCCAGGCCCCAGGCCCCAGGCCCCGTGTGGGATTTCACATGTGGCCTTCCACAAAGGAAGTGTGTCCCCGTGCCAGCGGCTCCCCCATCTGTGCGGTGGGATTAGATCACCATGTCTGCGTCGAGATGAAGGCCTGGTGGGTTCTCTGCGGCCGCCCTCCCCCTGCCCTGGAGACTCCTGGGTCTCCGGTCTCACCCCTGCGATGGGCTTAGAGGCTGCAGGAGGCACGGTGGGGGGTACTGAGCTCTTCTGCGCTTCCTCTCCTGTGCATATCCTGCGCCCTTCCCCCAGGGCCAGGCTGGGCTCCCCACCAGCTCACTCACTCATGCCCACATCCCTGTGTCCCTTCCTCCCTGGGTACACGATCCGTTTTTCGAGCACTGCCATGTCCCAGCTCTGTCCTAGGAGGGATCCAGAAATGAAACAGGCGGTCTCTCTCTTGGTGAAGTTGACATCTGTCAGGGAGACAGGGTTCTCGTGCAGGGCGGGCCTGTGAGGGCCGAGCAGGGGCGGGGAGCCCTGGGCTGACAGGGACAGGAGGGGCCGCTGTGAGCTGAGCGGGGCCTGACTCCATTTAACTTGGCCAGGCCTGCTCTGGCTGCAGAGGGCACCTGGGGGACCAGCCTGGAAGTGGGAAGACTGGAGGGGTGACTGGAGTCCTGTCCGCCCACCCGGGGACGGGGTGGGCCTGGCGTGGGCGGAGGGAGCAGCAGACCCTGGCATGCAGGCCACCCAAGTTCCCTGGAAACAGGCCAGGCCGGGGGCACTGAAGCTTGCTCCATGCAGGTGACTGGGCCAGGGTCAGAAGCACTGCCCCTCAGAGGACAGCTGACGGTGACCCTCAACCAAACTCCACTCCCCCATGCCCCCTCTGGGAATAGAACCCCCCCACAGCCCCTGAAAGTTGATGGCTCACTGGGGAGTTCTCAGGCCTGGTTCCCACCAGTGCAAGATGAAAACAACCCAACAGTGCGTCGCCCAGGCCTCACCAAATCCACGGGACCCGTCCTGGAGTCGGGGTAGAATATTCTGAAGTCCTGAACCAAAGCTGCTGTGCGCTCTGGGCAGGTGCCTCCCCTCTCTGGGCTCCTTCCTCCCCGGCAAGGGGATGCTGGTACAATAGGACTGACAGGGCCACTCCCCTGTGCTCAACTTTAGGGCCAAGCTTCAGAGCTGGGCCTGGCAGAGCAGGTGGGCGGGGGCAGTTGCTGTCATTAGAAACACTGTTACTATCTGATGCTCCAGCAGAGGACTGGACAGCAGGTGACTGCCACAGAAGGCGAAGGAAAAAGAATGAGAAGTGCTGCTTAGAGCTCACGCCAGCTAGGGAGACCCTGGGAAGTAGGGCCCCACCGTGGCTTCCGTTGGTGGAGACAGTGGTAGTGTGTGTGTGTGTGGGGGGGACAGGACCACGACTCTGAACCCTCTCGTGCTGTTGGAGTTGCCGAGGACCTTTTTTCCTACGCATTTTCACACATAGGCAAAACCAAACGCTAGGAAGAGAAATTCTGCAGGAGGCCCGACATCCCCCCCCGCCCCCCGCATCTTCTGCCTGTGTGTGGCCCACTCCCCCGCCAGGTTTCTGAGCCCTTGGCCTTGCAGTAGGTCTGAGCTGGAGTCCCCTGCAAGAAAGGGGGCTCCTAGGAGACCCCAGAGCAGCCTAGGCTCCAGGCAGCCAGGGGTGTGGACAGGGAGGGAGGGGGTCCCTGGCCAACTGATGAGAACTCCAAATGCTCCCCGACCCGGCTGCTAATCACTTCCAGATTGGCCGGGTCAGGGCCAGGGCCGCCGCCGCCTGGCTCCATAAACAGCCCGTCGCTCCAGTTGGTGGCTGGCTCCAGCCTGGCGAGCAGGTTCACGAGGGACTGGGGTGGGGGGGCAGCAGGTGGAGGACCCCGCCCCCGCGCCAGCCTGGGCCCTGTGCCTCTCAGGCCCTGAGTCTGGGACGGTGGGCCAGAAGGGGCAAGGCCCAGGTTAGCGTGCGTGTAGACAGAGAGGTGGGGAGGATGGATGGGTTTGTTTTGTCTCTGTGAATCCAGCACACAAGGACACGAGAAAAGCCCAAAGGAGGTGCCAAACTGGTGGCACTGCAGTTAAGGAGGCACATCCCACATGGCCCACCTGGGGTTGAAGTCCCGGACCTGTCAGCTTGAAGAACATGTCCGGGCGTGGGTGCGTGTGCGTGCCTGCATGCCCAAAACGCCAAGAGGAGAAAAGAGAAGGGATTGCAGTGTGGCCAACCCCTCCAGGCGGTGCTTTCTCACTTTCTCTCTCTCTTTCTGTCTCTGTCTCTCTCTCCAGTGATTTCACATGCCATCTAGCAAGTTAATAAAAAAAAGTAACAAAGAGCCCGCAGGTGGCATGGTGGTTAACGGTCCTGGACTCACATGGCTGACTGCGGATCGAGTCCTGGACCTGGTAGCTTGCGATCTCACTTTCCCTCTCTCTCTGTCCCTCTGTGGTCAAATTTAAATCAATAAACAAATAAAGTTAAATAAAATAATTCTTATAAAAAATAAGTAACAAGACTCAAGGAAGGGAGTAAAGAATAATTGCCAATTGAGTTTAAAAAAAAAAAAAGAAAGAGAGATGCAGCTTTTTCTTCCTGAATGAATGCATTATTTTGGCTCTCTGGACCTCAGCTTCCCCATCTGTAAAGGGAGGTGGCTAGAGTACGGGCTTGTGGGTTTCTGGAAGACTCCATGCCACAGCTCCGTGGGCTCGCTGTGCGACTGCACCCAGCACAGTGCCCGTGTGCCCTCTCCTCCTCCTGAACCGTCTTCCGCTCCAGCTTCATCTCTCACCAGAGAGCAGAGCGCTTCCTCCAAGAAGCCACCCTGACTTCTGCTCAGACCTCTCCCTTTGTGCCAGCCCGTGCATTTCCCACGCTCTCAGAGTCCGCCCAGTCTGCCTAGCACACAGCACAGTGGGTACCCAGGGCTATGGTGCCCCCACCCACCTGCGGGCAGGGAAGCAGAGGGCATGCAGGCAGTG